TGCAAACATTTAAAAATAAGATCATACATAAAACATGTTTAGATTCTCTTGGAAGATTGCATCAGGCAACAATGGGCCAGGATCTCTGGATGGCAGCCTGAGAGAGCTACCATTAAGTAACAGCTGCCTCATTTAGATAAAAACTCTCCATAGTGTCCCATAGTTTCTACCCAGGTTGATTTTTTTTCATTTCTGTTATCTGCCCCAGCCCAATAAACATTTTGGAATTACCTTCCCTGATTGATAGGTTAAAGTCCAAATTCTTTGTTGTGATTTATAAGAACATTCACAGTTGGTAATAACCTACCTCTCCAGGTTTATATCTCCAACCTCTGCTCTATATATCCTCTGTCCCCCATTTCAGAAAACATTCCTAAAATATAAAATGCTCTTGTGTTTCCAGGGATGACTTTCTTTGCCTTATATGCCTTATGAAATATTTCCTGGCTTTCTCAGGTAAAGCTAATTTTTTCTGGACTCCAGTAGTATGTGAGCATATTTCTGAGTCTATATCTCCTGTCTTGAAATTATTTGTGTATATGCTTATGTTCTTCATCATACTGTGAACCTGGTAGGGGAATGAATCATAATTATTCATCATTATCTCTTTGCCTTGTAGCTGGAACATGCTCAGCAAGTATCTGTTGAGTAAAGAATGGATGGGCAGCACCTTCTGACTGGGATCTCTGTTTTTGAGTTTTGCCCATGAATAGAAAATTAAAACAGAAGACAGAGGAAAGAGCAAGTGTTTTCCTTAGTACTCTGAGCTTATAGCAGAAGATATTGCTGCTGGTTGTGATTTAGGAAGGTCATTGGTAGTCAAAGTCAGCCTATAGGGATTCTAGTATCTGTAGACCTAAAGACACTAAACCAGAGCTAGCTCTATGAAGTTAAAAAAAAAAAAAAAAAGCACTTTAAGATTAGCATACAAGGGCTGGGGCTGTAGCTCAGTGGTAGAGCATTTGCTTGGCATGTGTGAGGCACTGGGTTCGATCCTCAGCACCACATAAAAATAAATAAATAAATAAAGATATTGTGTCCATCTACAACTAAAAAAAACTTTTAAAAATTAGCATACAAAACAATTGTTGTTGTATTATAGTTCTGTGAATTTTAACAGATAGATTAGTGTAACTGTAACTATCACCATAATCAGATATAGTCATCTCTCCTCCCCTAACCATAAACCCTTTGACAGCCACCAATCAGTTTTCCATCACTATAGTTTTGTCTTTTTGGAAATGTTATAGAAATGTCTAACCTTTTAAGCATGTCTTCTTTCACTCAGTATAATACCCTTGAGATCTATCCAGCTTGTGTGTATCAGCAGTTCATTTATTTTTATTACTACATAGTATTCCATTGTGTGAATGTCCCACAGTTTATGTATCCATTCACTCATTGAAGGACATCTGGACTGTTTTCCATATTTACCCTGTGAACCTGTATATAGGTTTTTGTGTAAACAGAGAAATCCATTTCTCTAGAGTAACTATCCAGGAGTAGGATTGTTGTCATATGGTAAGTATATATTCAACTTTATAAGAAACTATTGAACTCTTTTTCAGAGAAGCTGTACCACTTTGCATTTCTGCTAGCAAGGTATTAGATTTCTAGTTGCTCTCCATTCTAGCCAGCAATAGGTATTATTAGTATTTTTTCCCCTTAATTTAAGCATGCTGCAGGTGAATAGTGATATCTTATTGTGGTTCTAATTTGAATTTCTGCTTCCTTGAACTGAAGGGGAAAAAAATGTAAACTTACTACCACTTCAGCAGTACTTCAAATTCTGATGTTCTTTTACTCTACCTTCTACTATTTACTTTTTGGAGTCCTCACGTTGCTTATTTATTGCTATGTAACAGATTAACAAAAATTTTAGTGACTTAAAACAATATACTTTTATGATCTCATGGTTTCTGCAGTGTAGGAACCCAGGCCTAGTTTGCTTGGGCCACCTTTAGGATCTGTTTTGAGCTGCTGCAGTTAAGGGAGTTGGCTGGACTATAGCCATCTGAAGGCTTGACTGGGAGGGATCCACTTCTAAGCTCGTGGTTGTCAGCAGGATTCAGTCCCTCATAATCTGTTTGACTGAGGACCTTAATTAGATCCTTGTTGGCTTTCCCCCAGTCTTTATGGGCCCCTCAAACACGGCAGCTTACTTCATATAAAACAAGTTGCAAAGGCAATAGAGTCTATTAGGAAGAAGGAAAGTCACAATCTTTTAAAATCTAGTCATAGAAGTGACATCTCAACAACATCGCCATATTCTATTGAGTAGAAGCAAGTCACTAGATTCAGCCCACATTCAAAGGAAGGGGGATCACATAGGGCATAAGTCAACCAGGAGGTGTGGGGATTACTGGGGGCATCTTAGAGTCTGCCTGCTACAGTCCTTAAATGGCTGCTTCATGGATTCTGCCTGGGTTGATAGCATCATTCCATGGGAGAAACAGGGTTGAACGGGCAGAATGTCCTTATTCCATTTTATCCAGACTGAAACACTCTGGATGAAATCCATGGTTTAGCACATGTTAGGCAAGTGCTCTACCACTGAGCTATACCTCCAGCCCACTGGGAAACTTTTTAAAATTTGATTTATGAACATCCAGTGTTAATTTAAGGTGAAATTATTTTTTAAAATGCAAGCCATCTAGAACTAAGGGTTAGATTAAGTGGTCATAATTGAAATTTTGATATCTACTAATCTTTTATTTATTAAATCGCAACAAAAGAAGGCTTAACTTTTGTATCTAAGAAGGATCCTTTTAAAACTGAACTTCTGTACTTAAAAACATGACAGCTATTTCATCCTGTTACTATGGCTGCTGACCAGGTGACCCCAATGAACAATTCTGGCCAGTACTGACCTTTATGAATTTCTTCCACCTGATAGTGACTCCTAACCTACCTTTGATTTCTCTTAATGACTTCCTATGGTTTGCCAAATCTGGCCTCTCTTTTCTCTTACTTAATGTGATTTTTCAATACTCAGACCTTATCCTTGGAGATCTGCTTAATCTTTTCTATTTGTTTAAGTGTAAAATTACTTTGTGTTCCTTTCTTCTCTTTTGAAAGGAATGGTCTCTTTCAATCAGGGTTCTTTGAAATTTGGGGACCATGAGCTCCTCACAGTAAAATTTTTTTTGAGAATGGACCCCTAGTATATTTGATTATTTATAGCCAATACTACTGAACTCATTGTATACATGATTAAATATACATTAGAAATAGAAAAATTAATAAGAATAAGAAAACAGATAAAAATATAAGTTCTAATGTTTTCTGCTTCCCTGTAGATCTCTGTACATCTGCTGCCAGGCAAGTGCCCAGTTTTGGAGACTATCATAATTTAAGAAGTAGTGATTTGTTATTGTTTACCATTGGCCTCGGCACTGGAAGGCTAGCTGAAAGTTGCCATAGCTGGGAGACCAGTCCTGTCTGGTGCTTTGAACATTCTGCTACCAGGGGCCACGAATGGGCAGACTCCTTAAGTAACCCCCACCAAGTATAAATGCATATTGCTGTTATCTCAGTCTACTCTCCAGTCTGGCTACTGCATCTAATTCTAGCATACTTCTTAGGGTGTGTTATGATAGATACTAGGAGCTGCCCATTAGAAGTACTTTACCTTGGCAGAAATTGGAACTGTGGCCAGTTCCAGGAAGCTTGTGAAATAGGAAAACTTTGCCTGTGATGTGGTGTTTCCTCCTTATGAGGTAGGTAGACTTCTCTGAATTCCTCTGTCTTTCCATAGTTTCTTACTTCATGGACTAATCAAGTGTCCTGGCTTGGGTTTCCTCAGTAGCAGAGCCTGAAGCAAGCATTACAGGGCAGGAAGTTTATTTGGAAGATGAAGACAAAGGAGTGGCATAGTGGAAATAGAAAAGGGAGGCAGCAAAGGAAGAGGAAGCCTGCAGAGGTGGAAAAAAGCAGCCTTTTTCATTTTTTAAAATATTTTTAGTTTTTTAGGTGGACACCATATTTTATTTTTATATGGTGCTGAGAATTGAACCCAGTGCCTCATGCATGCTAGGCAAGCACGCTGCCACTTGAGCCACATCCCCAGCCCCCATTTTTCATTCTTGACAGGCATCTTTCTCTATCCACTCTAATTGCAGCATGATCATTAGGGTTGCAGTTCATTCTGATTTTTAGTTCTACTCTTATTTCACATCCTTGTTAAGTATAGTAGAATATGTATGTTCATAATATTACCTTCTTTTTGCCCTTGTCTTTTCTTCTGGATAATGTTAGTTCAATCATAAGGTTTTTTTTTTTTTTTGTTGTTGTTGTTGTTTTGTTTTGGCTTTAAAAATATTTTTAGTTGTAGATGGACACAATACCTTTATTTTATTTTTATGTGGTGCTGAGGATCGAATCCAGGGCCTCACATGTGTTAGGCAAGCGCTCTACCACTAAACCATGACCCCAGCCCCCAGTCATAAGATTTGTGGGTCATTTCTTTTAGAAAAAACCTTCTCTCATTTCCCTTTCTAGAATAGAACTCTTTCTCTGGGCTCCCATAGTATTTTTCACCTGTCATACTGTCATACATTACTGTTTTGCTTTTATTTATTTATGTAATAAATATTTCTTATGTGCCAGGTGCTGTTATGGGTACCTGGAGCTTATAGTCTAATAGGGGAGACAGATTTTAATTTGTAATTTATTACTATTTCTTATTTACCTCTGTGTTTGCCTCACCCAGTCATGTGTATTTTGTTCACCTTTTGTGTCCCTTCCGTCAGCACAGCTCAGTGAATATTTGTTAAATGAAAGAACATAAGGCATCTTAGTCAAGGATGATTTGGTATTACCATGCCTTTTCCAAGGGGAAATTGGTTTCTTACCTTTCCTGTCAGCTGTTTTCATATGATGATATGCCCATTAAGAAATATATTGACATACCTTGACTGTTAGGGGAACAAATTTATTGTTAATGAGTGGGTTTAGAATTGTAAACATGATTTTTGCCTGTTTGTTTTTTCTTTTCTCAGATTGGGAGAACACATTCCCGCTTAACTGCAGGAAAGTCAAAGAACATCCAAGAAACAAAAACCTCAGTTTTGCAAACGCACAAGGTGCTGATCCAGACAGTATGGTGCAGTGATCATAAGCAGGTATTTTAGAGTCAAAGTGCTGGTTTCAAATCCCAGCTCTGTCTTTCATTTGTTATTTGACTTTGGCCTATTGTTCCTAGCATGTGAGTAGTGTATACTTCATATGCTAGTATGTGGATTAACTAAGATTAACATGTCAAATTAATAAGTCTAGAACATTGTAAGTGCTCAATTAGTGCTTAATTAGTGTTATTAGCATTATTGTGATTTATTCATATATATCAGTGTTGGTGTATTTAGCAATTAGAGGCTGGCTGTAGGACTCCAATATGGTACTCAAAGTAATGTTTCAGTGTTCTTTGTATAATAGAAAAAAGTAACGCTATTCATTCAAAGCAGATTCTAAGTATTTTTTTTTTTTTAAAACCCAAGGGCGGGCACTCTATCACTGAGCCATATCCCTAGCCCCTTTTTATTTTTTATTTTGAGATAGGGTCTTGCTAAGTTGCCCAGGCTGGCTTTGAACTTGATTTGCCTCAGCCTCCCCAATAGCTGGGATTATAGGTGTACACCACCACACCTGGCCAGATTCTAAATTTTAAGAATTTAGAATTTTAATTTTAAGAATTCTAAATTGATACAATTTGCTAATCTAATTCATAGTTCAGAAATTGACTATTAAAATATTCTAAGGGTTGGGGTTGTGGCTCGGTGGTAGAGCGCTTGCCTAATGCATGTGAGGCACTGGGTTCGATCCTCAGCACCATGTAAAACTAAATAAAACAAAGGTATTTTAGATGGACTAAAAACATATTAAAAAAATAATCACCTAAATCCCAGGTTCTTTCCCTCCTTTCTTTTCTTTCTGTGATTAAACAAATATTTGGTGATCTTATGCATCTGGAGCTGAGGATGCCAAGAGGAATGGAATGGGTTCTTTCCCTTAGGATTTAACATGTAAAAGGGCAAATTACAGCACATTTTGGGAGACTTTATAATTGGACACATGCATGGCTTTGAGATCCAGGAGACAGAATGACTAATTCCCTTTTGGTGATTCAGGAAAGGCTTCACATAGAGAAGGTGACATTTGAACAACTGCATTTAGACCTAGCCATCATTTAATGACTGTGAATTGAACATGTGTTTGGAAATCTAGCCATAGAGCTGCATTGTCCACTATTTTTTCAGAGGCCTGGGTAATTATGCTATCATTTACAAAGCATGTGGCAGCCTCATCAGATTCTCATCTTAGTGTCCCTGCCATGGAAACCTGAACGGTTGTATTGCCTCATAATGAGGCCCTCTGGTAATATTTAATATGCTAATAAAGTACAGAAGCCCAAAGCTGCCTTTCCAGTTATTTTTAAAGGAACTCCATTAGATTAAGTAGTAAACTAGGTAACCATTTTGCTAGTCCTCTATGACTCTCAATTGCAGAAAGACTAAAGAGCAGCTAAAGCTAAAGAGCAGCTTGGGTGGGGTTATGAAACGGCCATGGCTAGAGTCCTGTAAATCCCGGTTGGTGAAGCCTGAGAACAGTAAGCTTGAAGCTGCATATGCCGTGTAACCAGCTAGGAAGTTTGGGAGGAAAATTGCTAACAGTGTGGCTACAGTCAGCATGAGACTCTGAGAATAAGCCCATCCCTGAATTGCTTTAACAGATAGCCAAATTGTGGTTGTTGGCATCCATTACTGAATTCATCACTTTGAGTTTTCAGATGTATCTTCCTTTTTTTCTTTCCGAAACTCAGAAAAACTACAGGTCAACTTTCATTTTCTTTTCTGCCAATGAGAGGAGGTGAATCTCCCTTTCATAGATAGGTTCTCCAATAAGAAGAATTGGACAGCTGGGCAAATACACATGTCATATGAACTAGTTTGCAGTGCTCTAACTGCAACTCCTTTAAATGTATGTCTTTCTAGCCCTTAGAAAGAATGTTTCATTTTCCCACTTTCTCTTAATTGTACGCAGGTTATTACAGTGTTTTCCAAAAATCATCTGCAGTTGATCTAAAGAATGCTTTTCTGCCTTTATTTACTGAACTTCTCTTTTCTACTTGTACCGATATGGAATATTTCTGCAAACAGCAGCCTGGTCCTGCCTGAACAGAGTCTGGTCCCCTTAGAAGCAATCATGTGACCACTGATATCGCAGCCCATTACTTGAGCACATCTCTTTATATCCAGGCCAGGAACAGAGAAGGGTTGGGGCAGACAGCTGCAGCTCACAAGATAGCTCAGCCTTTCCTGAATCTGTGACTTTGGGCTTGCCTTCCAGGCTGAAAGTCAAGTCAGATTGGCACTGTTCTAGTGATTTCTCTGTTTATGTGTGTGTGTGTGTGTTTATTTAAGCAAGAGCTCTCTCTGGTGTGTGTGTGTGTGGTGCTCCAGAGAGATCTGAAAATTATAACTCTTTTCTTTCAGACCTCTGTGTTCTCTCATAGAGAAGACTTTTTCTCATCTTTGTTTCTCCTGAAACACCTGGAGTGAGGAAAACCTTTGCAGTGGCCAAGCAAAAGACCCAGGTAAGATGTTATTTGTTGTTAGACATTATGGGCTAATTCTACATGACTGTATTCTACATGATAAACATTTATCATGTGAAAATGAAAGGGAATGTATACTCATTGGAGTATATTTATTGTTTTGCAATTTCTTAGGATGATTTTTCTCAGAAATGCTGATTGTAAATCAATTGTTATTTAAAAAAGGTATACAGATGACTTTGCAATCTGAAGGGTTGTGGCCTGTTTCAAATAAATTTGATATTTGGAATAACTTAGGTGATGAGAGCTAAAAAATGAGGCAAGCGACACTTTGAGAAACACTTGTAAGTAGATCCTTCATGGAGTATTATCCACACTCTACTATACAACTTCATATTTAGAAAGCTTCCTTAGCTCCTTTGGCCTCTTTTAATAGAGGACCACAGGGTTTTTATTTCTTTGTAAGAAATGGAAAAGAATTTGTTGCAGTGTTTAAGAATTCTCTCCAGTGATTTAGTTGTAACACAGACTGGATCCTGAAAGTGAGGCATACATGCCTTTAAGTGGGCAGGCATTTTTGTTTTTTAATGGTTAAATAGGGGAATCCTCAGTTTTGCCACTAATCATCTGTGCCAGGGAGTATGATATTTAGTATCTGAGCCTTAGTTTCTTCATTTGTAATATGGGGGTGATGATGCTACCTTGAAGGTTTGCTATGAAGATTTACTAGAATAATAGAAATATAAAGCACCTACTGTGCTGGGTGCATAATAGTCCCTTAATAAATGGTAGTGATTTTAACTCTTATTGTTATTACTGGTGTAGCATTATTTCAGATCTTGCAGCTCTGAGGGTGGGGCATTTCTTTGTGAATCTTCATTTATTCTAGAGCCTACAGACATTCAAGGGGTGTGGTCTCTGGGAGGCCCCAAGCGAAGCATTCTGAAGGAAACTTGAGTAAACACAGCGGATTCCCACCCATGCATGGCCCCTGCTAACCTGTCTGCTAAGAAGAGTTGCTCTTTGTTCAAGTCAGTAAGGTATGCACTTTTATCTCTTAAGAAGAAACTGAGGTGCAGAGGAATTCATGACAAGCTGAGAATTTAAACTTCAGTCCTTTCTAAATCCAAGGCTCTACTGAACTAACATTAGACAGTTAGGAACAACAGTTGTTCTTGAAATGGTTACCTCAAAAGGGTCCCCTCCTAGTTGTCAGCTCGCTCTTAAAGATTCCCAATGCACATTAATCTATTGAAGGCTCTGAGAAATCCTGCAGTTAAAAAAAAAAAAAAAAAACAAAAAACTTGTTAAACACTACTTTTTTCTCATGGTGGAACTTTTTTTTTTTTTTTTCCTTATTCTTAGAATAATAAACCACATTGATGAACAGACAAACACAAACACACTTTGGAAAACCTGGCTCTAGGTTAAGATACTTCATGATTATAATCATATCAGAAGTAGAGTGAGCCTGACAAGGTGTCAATTCTCCATGCTAGTGTCTAGAGTTCAAGGAGGAAGAATTATAACTGCCTACTTAACTCCCATTGTGGTAGTATGGTAGTGTGGTGATGGTGGGGGAGCCAGATAAATGATGGTGGATTCTGGATTTGAGTTCCTCAGGGTCAGAGCTTGAGTAGGAATTTCTCACAAAAGCTAACATCTCTAGGAAAAGCTGGATTTCTGGCATGGAGAGCTACCCAGTTAACATCTAGAATATTGCCAGAGGTAGATTCATGCACAGTCAGGGTAGCTGAGCCAAGGTGTGGGAGTTGTATAGAGATCCACGTAGAAATAAAATAATGTTAAGAATGAATAAGAACATCTTAGGGAAGCTGGGCTTACACTTCAAGAATGCTCAGTGGTAAAGGGTGGGCTGGCTCCAAGGGCCATCTTTTGTTCTTTCCTTGTGTTTTCAGCTTTGAAAATGAAAGTGGTTAGGATGAGATGAAATGTCAAACAGTTCCACTCTCGGGTCTCCTTCCTGTCCACCCATCGGCCCACAGTAAAAACCTTTTAGTAGAAGCCCAACCTTTTGGTAGAAACCTGTCCTTTTGCAGATTGTACGTTGAGTGCTGATGATGAGTCACTAATTTATGTTTACTCTTAAAATCATCTTTGATATATATCAGAAAGGGCAGAAGCACTGGGCAGCTTTCAAGCTGTTTTTGCCACAATCCACCCAGTGGTTTATGTGACCAGGACATCAACCTTTTGAGCCTGAGAACCCCTTGCAGGAGGAATCACTTTTTCAGAGACTTTGATTGCTGTACTAAGTCCTCTCCTTGATGCTGGTGGAGTGTGGAAATGGAAGAAGCTTAGGTTTTTCCAAGTCATGGAAAATCCCCAAGTCATCTTTATTAGCTTCATAGTCAGCCATAAGTGTTCCCAAGGATGCCACAAACACTGCTCACAAACCTGCTTTCCTCTCCCCTCTGCTTCAAGGTCTAGGTTGGGTAGCATGTGGGAGTGGTAAGTGGCACCAGATGTTTTTCATGTTTTGGTGAGATCTCTCTCTCCTGTTACCTGAGAAAGAAAAACAGTATAAAAAAATGACACAATAATAATATAAAAGTTCTAATAGCCAATTATTTTTTTCTAATAGACAACCAAAGAATTCTAGAACAATTATCATTTCCAACATGATTTTAAAATTTGCTTTAAAAAAGAATGCAAAAATGATACACTAATAATGACTTTTAGGGGCTGGGGTTGTGGCTCAGTGGAAGAGCGCTTGCCCAGCATGCATGGGGCACTGGGTTCAATCCTCAGCACCACATAAATATAAAATAAAGATATTGTGTCCACCTGAAACTAAAAAATAAATTAAAAAATTTAAAAAAATAATGACTTTTAGCAATTAGTTTTCTAAAGGACTCTGGCTTAGAAATACTTATTTCTTTATTCATTTATTCATTCAGTATTTGTCAAACATATGTTATGTAAAAGGCACTGTGTAGGTGCCAAAGGTTCAAGGGGTATTTACAAAGAAAGTTACACATGGTGCTTACAGTCTAACAGAAACATATGCAAGTTTGATGCTTTTAAAATTCCTAGTGAATTTTATATATGGAATTCTATGTGTTTATATTAGCTGAGAAGCAAATGCCTTTGGAGATACATTATTTTTCTGGAAAAAGGACATTGAGATTAAGATACATCACGTTTGTTATCCAATCAGTGTTTGTTGCTTACTCAATGCCAAACTCTAATGATTCATAGAAAGGGGTAGAAAAAAATAGCATAAGCATGGAGCAAAGCCCAAGGTAGATATGGATACTGTGGGAGGGCAGTGTTTCTCAAACTGGGATATGGGGACTGCCTGCATCAAAGTACCCTGAAGGGTACACTTTATATATATATATATAAATTTATTTTACAAATATATTTACTTGTACATATTTTTATTGATGCTGGGAACTTGCACATTCTGGGCAAATGTTCTACCACTGAGCTATACCCCCAGCTCAAGATTGCACTTTAAATGCAGATTTCTTGGCCTCCAGAATTTTTGTAATTGAGTATTATCAGTAAAGCCTGGACTTTGAATTTTACCCCCTCACCCACACCTGCAGTGATGAAGGAATGTGCAGATGTGTTCTCTAATGTACTGTAGATGACCTTTGAGAAATTCCTGAGCACAAAAATGGGTCAGTAGTATACCATTTTCAAAAATGAGAAGAGTAGATACCAGAAGCCAGAGACTTGTTAAGTCTAACTCTGGAAAAATTCAGCTTCCAATGAATGGAGTCAAAGCATTTCTGGAAAAATGATCACTAGGCAACATTATAGGTTTGATAAAACATTGTCTCTTGTAGAGATTGTCAAACTTTGCTGTATTTTAGAATCATCTGGTTACCTTTAACAACATCTTGATGTTCAATCCCCACCTGATACCAATTACATCAGAATCTCTGGAGGGTGGGACCTTGGCATTAGTATTTTTTAACCCCCCAGATATTCTGATTTAATGAAGTGAAAGCTGAGCATTAGGAGCTTAAAAATTTCCCCAATATGCAGCAAAATTTGACATTAGGCAAATTGCTTTACTTTCTTGTATTTTGTATAAATAGTAGGTAATTTTAAGGGTCTTTCCCACCTTTAAATGTCTATGATTCTTTTATTAAAAATCATGCCAAACTGATTCCCTTCCTTTTTCCTTTTTTACTCTTCTTTCTCCTCCTTCCCTCTTCCTCTTCCTTTTCTTTCTGAATAAATATGCTCAGACATTGTGAATGTAGTGGATATACCCTGAAGAATGATCTGGAATGGAGTGCCACAGGGCTTGTTGTGCCTTTGAACTTGACCTTAACATTTTTTATCCATGATGTAGATAAAAAAAAAAAAGACATGAAAGAAATGTCTATCAAATTTGTAAATAACCCAAAATTTAGGGGAGTTAATTAATTTGATACATAAAAGAATTGGGTCCAGCTGTATTTTTAATTTTTGGTTCTGAGGATTGAATCCAGGGTGTCAGGCATACTAAGCATTCACTCTACCACTACACTACACTCCCAGCCTTATTTTACTCATATTAGTTTTCCCTTTCTTTAGTTGAATTGAAATTTTTAAGTCTTTAGTGTAGTAGTAATAGAAAAAAATGATAGAAAAAAGTAGGTAAAGTCCAGAGTCAGAGCATCACAAAATAAACATCACCCCCAAAAGCAATGAGATGGTATACTACAGAGGGGAATTTTGTTTAAAACCCTCATCAAGTGGTTATGGAAATGCCAATTCAGCAGCCTCATCAGAAGGATCTAGTAAGCAAGAGGGGAGACTTCAGAGGGGTCTCAGGAATGCCTGGAGAGCTCATTTAAAAAGGACACTCTTGGGGCTGGGATTGTGGCTCAACAGTAGAGCACTCGCCTAGCACGGGCGGGACTTGGGTTTGATCCTCAGCACCACATAAAAATAAAGGCATTGTGTTGTGTCCATCTACACCTAAAAAAATAAATATTAAAAAAAAGGACACTCTTGGGCCATGCCTGTAATCCCAGTGACTCTGGAGGCTGAGCAGGAAGACCTTGAGTTCAAGGCTAGCCTCAGCAATTTAGGGAGATCCTGTCTCAAAATAAAAAAGGCTGGATTGTGGGAGGTGGAGAGAGGCTTGTGTGGGAGAGAGAGGCTTGTGGGAAGCCTGTGGTGGCAGTTGGGGCTCTGAGGGTTTTTCCTGAGAGGCTATTTTGTTTGGCGTGTGTGGTTCTAAAAATAAAGTTGGTTTCTTTTGACAAGTGGCTCCTGATTGTGCCCAGCCAGACTGCGGCATTTGGTGGCTCGCACGGGGAGCGACTGAGGGTAAGTGATAAGGTAAACTGCTCGCCCCTGAGGGCAGGGCGAGAGGATGGGTAGCCATTTTAAGATTCTTCTTTTGTTATTTTGTTTCACTTTTGTTTTAAGTTGCCTGTCCCTGGAGATGTGTAAGATGGAAGAAAAACCACTCACATCTGAGGAACAGATAGGGAGAAAGGACAGATGGACATTTCAGGAGGCTATTATAATGATTTTGTGTTGTTCCAATTTTGTTTCACTCTGTTTCAGTTTTGTTAGGCGTTATCTTGTTGGGTTGTATTATAGTAGAAATATGGGATCAGAAATTAGTAAAAAAACAAACTGAAAGAGTGTTAAGTAAATTGTTAGAGGAAGGAGGCATCTCAGTAAAATCAAGGTCAGGGCATATGTTGATACAATACAAAAATGTAGCCCATGGCTTTTTAAGGAGGAGTTGTTAAATATATCACAATGGAACCATCATGGTGAAGATTTAAAAAGAATAGAAAAGAAAAGCCAGGGACTCTGCCAGTTGGCACATTGCCATTGTGGACGTTCATATCTTGTTTGCTTAGTCCAAAGCCTTCAGTTCAGACAATGGTAGAGGAAGGAGAAGACACATTGATTCAAGTAAAAGAGAAGGTCTCTCAAGCTAGTCAGACAGAGGAAAAGATTCAAGTAAAAGAGAAGGCCTCTCAAGCTAGTCAGACAGAGAAAGACAGTGTAAAACAGAAAAAGCCATCAGGGGGAAAGTTACAACAGGAGACTGCTACTAACACCTTTCTATCACCAGAGGGTGTAAGTGTCCAACCAACAGCACCACCTCTACAGGAGACTGCTACTAACACCTTTCTATCACTAGAGGACGTAAGTGTCCAACTAACAAGGCCACCTCCATATGCTGGGAGGTCCCCAACCCCCGCAGTTGATAGTTGGGATCCTGAGACAAGATCTCAAATATTAACATGCCCTGTATTTGAGGCAGGAGGGCAGCGAGTTTACCATGTTTTAAATTTCAAAACAGTGAAGCAGCTAAAAGAGGCTGTAACAACCTATGGTCCTCAAGCACCCTTCACTGTAAGCATGGTCGAATCCATTAACAACTTGAACATGACGCCAGCAGATTGGGCTAATATGTGTAAAGCTGTACTAAATGGAGAACAATACCTGTTATGGAAGGTTGCCAATGAGGAATTTTGCAAGGAGACGGCTAGGCGAAATGCAGCAGCTGGTTATCCTCAGAGAAATCTAGATATGTTGTTAGGAAAGGGACCTTATGAGGATCAGCAGCAAAAAATTGCATATGATCCTGGTGTATATGCACAAATTGCTGTAGATGCAATTAAGGCATGGAAGACTTTACAAGGACATGGAGGTTTACAAGGTCAATTATCTAAGGTAATACAAGGAGCTAATGAACCTTATGCTGAATTTGTAGATAGGCTTATTCAAACAGCTACCAGAGTTTTTGGGAATACAGAACAAGCAATGCCATTACTAAAACACCTGGCTTATGAGCAAGCGAATCGTTGGTGCAGAGATATCATTAGACCATGGAAACATGAAGATTTAAACACATATATTAAATTATGTAGAGACATTAATGAACAAGAGCAAGTCGTGGCAGCTGCAGTAAAACAGGCTTTAGATGCCAGAGACATTAATGAACAAGGGCAAATTGTGGCAGCTGCAGTAAAACAGGCTTTAGATGCCAGGCCAAGAACATGCTACAATTGTGAACAAACAGGACATTTTAAAAGGAATTGCCCCATTGGAGGAGGGTTTAACAAAACTAGGTATCAAAGGAGTAGAATACCAGGTATTTGCCCACGATGCCGTAGAGGGAGACATTGGGCTAACGAATGCCGTTCTCAAACCACCATAGAGGGTACTCCATTATCAAAAAATGAACAAGGACCAGGTGTTTATCCATGATATCGTGGAGAAAGGCATCGGGCTCCATTGCCAAAAAATGGACAGGGGGGCCCAATGCTCCGGGGCCCAAAACCACAAATATATGGAGCACTGGAGGAACCCAGCAACCCCATCAGGGTAGTGCCCAGGACACATTGTCCATCAGATCCCTCATCAGACAAACCAGAGGGAGCGCAGGGTTGGACATCTGCGCCTCCGCCAGAGCAGTACTAACTCCAGAAATGGGAGTTCAAATCATTCCCACAGGGGTAAAAGGACCTCTTCCCAAAGGAACAGTAGGCTTATTATTGGGACGCAGCTCTTCTACTCTAAAAGGACTTATGATAAGTCCTGGGGTAATTGATCCCGATTATGAAGGTGAAATAAAAATTATAGCCAGTTCTCCAAAGGGTATATCAGTAATTTCACCAGGAGATAGAATAGCAGAGTTACTAATAATACCCAGCCTACATGATAAATTTTCCAGTCATACTGTAGAAAGAGGTTCCAAGGGATTAGGCTTCACAGGTGTAGATTGGGCTATGCTTTCTTTAAATTTAGATTCTCGCCCCATGCTAAAACTAAATATTCAAGGACATGAATTTAATGGACTACTGGATACAGGTGCAGACCTTAGCATCATCTCTCGTCAAGAATGGCCAAAACATTGGCCATTACAACAAGCCACTCAAACGCTTCGAGGCCTAGGAGTGGCGACTAATCCCCATAGAAGTGCAATGGTATTAGATTGGAAGGATCCTGAAGGATGTGAAGGAACTATACAGCCATATGTATTGGATCATCTTCCCGTAAATTTATGGGGACAAGGTGTCCTAGATCAATTAGGTTTGACATTAACAAATAACATCTATCAAAATGCACCCACTATTATGACTAGACAAGGTTTTAGGAAAGGAAAAAGATTAGAAAAACAAGAACAAGGTATAGCAGCACCAATACAAATAGATCAAGGAACAGACAGACATGGGTTGGATTTTCAGAAAGGGCCACTGAGACAATAAAAATTACTTGGAAATCAGAAAGACCAGTATGGGTTCCTCAGTGGCCCCTGACTAAAGAAAAGATACAAGCAGCCCATGACCTGGTCAAACAACAATTAGCGGAAGGACATATACAACCTTCTGTATCTCCCCATAATACTCCCATTTTTGTCATCAAAAAGAAATCTGGTAAATGGAGATTATTGCAAGATTTAAGAGCCATTAATAATGAGATGGTTATTATGGGACCTGCTCAATCAGGGATTCCTCAATTGTCTGCTTTGCCAAAAACCTGGTATGTTTTAGTTATAGATATTAAAGATTGTTTTTTTTCAATTCCAATTCATCCTGAGGATAGTCCACGTTTTGCATTTACTATCCCTGCACTGAATCATGAAGGTCCTGATCAGAGATATGAATGGAAAGTACTCCCTCAAGGGAAGACTAACAGCCCAATGAGCATCACCGCAGAGGAGCCAATCAGCTAGATGTTGCTGGGGCCGCTGTGAGCCAATCATCAGCCGGCAGCTGGAAGTTTGCTGGGGCCCCTTCGGCTGTGGCTCTCAACAAAAAAAGGCTAGGGATATAGCTCAGTGGCAAAGTGCCCCAGTACTAAAAACGGTAAAAAGGACACTGTCACAGATAATGATTCCTAAATTTGAGGGGAGGTCTTGAATTTTCTTCTTTTAAACAAGCACCCTCAACTGATTGAAAAATGAAATATATTGTCAAAAAATTCACTTTGATTTTAATTTTGTCACAGTTGTTTATACATGTTGTTTTTTTCTCATAGTCAGCCTCCAATTTGTGTTTTTAAAGTCCAGATAGATTTAATTACTTTGAGTTTAAAGTCAAAACAATTATATCAGCTCCTCCATTCTCTGTATTTCAATTAGAAAATAATACATTCTTACAGTTCAATTATTTATTTCATTATTAATGCTTCTTTTTTAAGGTGCTGGAGATTACCACTTGGCTACATTCTTAGCCCTTTTTATTTTTTATTTTGAGATGGTCTTATTGAGTTACCAAGGCTGGCCTCAAACTTTCCATCCTCTTGCCCCCAGCCTCCTGAGTAGCTGGGATTACAGGCATGTGCTATCTACCATGTCTGACTATTAATGCTTAATTTTAGGGTTAGATTTGATTTAGAGATGGAGAAACTATAATTTGTGTGTGTAGCTGCTCTGTAGCTACTGTTGTGATTTGGAAAATAAATCGGGGTCAGATTATGTCTGATCACTTTCCACATCACACAATGAATAGTAATTCAGAAGAAGCATAAAACGAATTCTGCAGCCCCTTAGCTATCATGTTGTTAACTGATACTTTCTCTCCTTCCCTCCTGTTTCTTATTAGTATCTGTGATTGAAGGGGATCAACTAAGAGCAGCTCCTCACAACATCAAGGAAGAGACTTTTCATACTCTTATCTTGGAATCAGAAGTTGAATTTGTGAACATAATATGATTTAGAAATCATGGGTTGTAGCAGTTCTTCAACAGGAAACAAGAAATCTGAGAAAAGTGAGTGCTGGAAATGTTGCCTGTGTTTATGAATGAAAAGAAAAATTCTGTCTCTTTTTGAAATACTTTTCCCCCTTTGAAATGTTATTTGTGAACAGAAGTGTTAACTAGGATTTTTGGATTGTTTTTTCTTTTAAATACTTTATTGATTCCCAAGTATTTTATTTTTTTTGAGGATATTGTGAATGGAGTGTTTTTCCTCATTTCCGTTTCAGAAGTTTTGTCGCTGATATACAGAAATGCCTTTGATTTATGCGTGTTGATTTTATATCCTGCCACTTTGCTGAATTCATTTATTAGTTCTAGTAGTTTTTTTGTAGACCCTTTTGGGTCTTCTAGGTATAGAATCATGTCATCTGCAAATAGTGATAATTTAAGTTCTTCCTTTCCTATTTTTATGCCTTTAATTTCTTTCGTCTGTCTAATTGCTCTGGCCAGTGTTTCGAGAACTATATTGAATAGAAGTGGTGATAGAGGGCATCCCTGTCTTGTTCCAGATTTTAGGGGGAATGCCTTCAATTTTTCTCCATTGAGAATGATGCTAGCCTGAGGCTTAGCATAGATAGCTTTTACAATGTCGAGGTAAGTTCCTGTTATCCCTAGTTTTTCTAATGTTTTGAACATAAAGGGATGCTGTACTTTGTCGAATGCTTTTTCTGCGTCTATTGAGATGATCATATGGTTCTTATTTTTAAGTCTATTGATGTGGTGAATAACATTTATTGATTTCCGTATATTGAACCATCCTTGCATCCCAGGGATGAATCCTACTTGATCATGGTGCACAATTTTTTTGATGTGCCTTTGTATCCGATTCGCCAGAATTTTATTGAGGATTTTTGCATCTATGTTCATCAGAGATATTGGTCTGTAGTTTTCTTTCTTTGAGGTGTCTTTGTCTGGTTTCGGAATCAGGGTGATGTTGGCCTCATAGAATGAATTTGGCAGAGCTCCTTCTTTTTCTATTTCCTGAAATAACTTGAAAAGTATTGGTATTAATTCTTCCTTAAAGGTTTTGTAAAACTCCGCTGTATACCCATCCGGTCCTGGGCTTTTCTTGGTTGGAAGTCTTTTGATTGCTTCTTCTATTTCATCTATTGTTATTGGTCTGTTTAAGTTGTGAGTATCCTCCTGACTCAGTCTGGGCAAATCATATGACTTAAGGAATTTATCAATGTCTTCACTATCTTCTATTTTATTGGAATATAGGTTTTCAAAATAATTTCTAATTGTCTTCTGTATTTCTGTAGTGTCTGTTGTGATATTGCCTTTTTCATCCCGTATGTTAGTGATTTGAGTTCTCTCTCTTCTTCTCTTCGTTAGCATGGCTAAGGGTCTGTCGATCTTATTTATTTTTTCAAAGAACCAACTTTTAGTTTTGTTAATTTTTTCAATAGTTTCTTTTGTTTAAATTTCATTGATTTCCGCTCTGATTTTAATTATTTCTTGCCTTCTGCTACATTTGCTGTTGTTTTGCTCTTCCTTTTCTAGGGCTTTGAGATGAAGTGTGAGCTCATTTATTTGTTGGTTTTTCCTTTTTTTGAGGAATGACCTCCAAGCGATGAATTTCCCTCTTAAAACTGCTTTCATTGTGTCCCATAGATTCCGATATGTTGTGTCTGTATTTTCATTTATCTCTAAGAATTTTTTGATTTCTTCCTTTATGTCTTCTGTAACCCATTGATCATTCAGTAACATATTGTTCATTTTCCATGTGATGTAGGATTTTTCCTTCCTTCTTTTATCATTGATTTCCAGTTTCATTCCATTATGATCAGATAAAATGCATGGTATTATCTCCACCCCTGTATATTTACTGAGGGTTGCCCTATGGCATAATATATGGTCTATTTTTGAGGAGGATCCATGTGCTGCTGAGAAAAAAGTATATCCACTTGATGATGGTTGATATATTCTATATATGTCAGTTAAGTCTAGGTTGTTGATTGTGATATTGAGTTCTATAGTTTCTTTATTCAGCTTTTGTTTGGAGGATCTGTCCAATTGTGAGAGAGGTGTGTTGAAGTCACCCATAATTATTGTGTTGTGGTCTATTTGATTCTTGAACTTGAGGAGAATTTGTTTTAACCCAACCTAACAAAAGAGGTGAAAGATTTATATAATGAAAACTACAAAACCCTAAAAAGAGAAGTAGAAGAAGATCTTAGAAGATGGAAAAATATACCCTGTTCATGGATAGGCAGAACTAACATCATCAAAATGGCGATATTACCAAAAGTTCTCTATAGGTTTAATGCAATGCCAATCAAAATCCCAACGGCATTTCTTGTAGAAATGGATAAAGCAATCATGAAATTCATATGGAAAAATAAAAGACCCAGAATAGCAAAAGCAATTCTAAGCAGGAAGTGCGAATCAGGCGGTATAGCGATACCAGACTTAAAACTATATTACAGAGCAATAGTAACAAAAACAGCATGGTACTGGTACCAAAACAGGAGGGTGGACCAATGGTACAGAATAGAGGACACAGAGACTAATCCACAAAGCTATAACTATCTTATATTTGATAAAGGAGCTAAAAGCATGCAATGGAGGGAGGATAGCATCTTCAATAAATGGTGCTGGGAAAACTGGAAATCCATATGCAACAAAATGAAACTGAATCCCCTCCTCTCGCCATGCACAAAAGTTAACTCAAAGTGGATCAAGGACCTAGATATCAAATCAGAGACTCTGCGTCTGATAGAAGAAAAAGTTGGCGCCGATCTACATATTGTAGGGTCGGGCTCCAAATTCCTTAATAGGACACCCATAGCACAAAAGTTGATAACAAAAATCAACAAATGGGACTTACTTAAACTGAAAAGTTTTCTCTCAGCAAGAGAAACAATAAAAGAGGTAAATAGGGAGCCTACATCATGGGAACAAATTTTTACTCCTCACACTTCAGATAGAGCCCTAATATCCAGAGTATACAAAGAACTCAAAAAATTAAACAATAAGAAAACAAATAACCCAATCAACAAATGGGCCAAAGACCTGAACAGACAGTTCTCAGAGGAGGACATACAATCAATCAACAAGTACATGAAAAAATGTTCACCATCTCTAGCAGTCAGAGAAATGCAAATCAAAACCACCCTAAGATACCATCTCACTCCAGTAAGATTGGCAGCCATTATGAAGTCAAACAACAAAAAGTGCTGGAGAGGATGTGGGGAAAAGGGTACTCTTGTACATTGCTGGTGGGACTGCAAACTGGTGCGGCCAATCTGGAAAACAGTATGGAGACTCCTGGAAAAGCTGGGAATGGAGCCACCATTTGACCCAGCTATTGCCCTTCTTGGACTTTTCCCTGAAGACCTTAAAAGAGCGTACTACAGGGATACTGCTACATCGATGTTCATAGCAGCACAATTCACAATTGCTAGACTGTGGAACCAACCCAGATGCCCTTCAATAGATGAATGGATAAAAAAAAATGTGGCATTTATACACCATGGAGTATTACGCAGCACTAAAAAATGACAAAATCATAGAATTTGCAGGGAAATGGATGGCACTAGAGCAGATTATGCTTAGTGAAGCTAGCCAATCCCTAAAAAACAAATACCAAATGTCTTCTTTGATATAATGAGAGCAACTAAGAACAGAGCAGGGAGGAAGAGCAGGAAGAAAAGATTAACATTAAACAGATACATGAGGTGGGATGGAAAGGGAGAGAAAAGGGAAATTGCATGGTAATGGAGGGAGACCCTCATTGTTATACAAAATTACATATAAGAGGTTGTGAGGGGAATGGGAAAATAAACAAGGAGAGATATGAATTACAGTGGATGGGGTAGAGAGAGAAGATGGGAGGGGAGGGAGGCGGGATGGTAGAGGATAGGTAAGGTAGCAGAATACAACAGTTACTAATAGGGCATTATGTAAAAATGTGGATGTGTAACCGATGTGATTCTGCAATCTGTATTTGGGGTAAAATTGGGAGTTCATAACCAACTTGAATCTAATGTATGAAATATGATATGTCAAGAGCTTTATAATGTTTTGAACAACCAATAAAAAAAATTAAAAAAAAAAAAATAAATAAATACTTTATTGAGGTGAAACTCATAACATACAACCAACTGTTGTAAAGTGAGCAACTCAATGGCATTTAGTACATTTACAATATTGCACCACCTGTCTGGTTCCAAAACATTTCTTTTACTCCAGAGTAAAACCCCTGTCCTTTAAGCAGTTTCTCCTGATTTCCCTCTCCCCTCAATCCCTGGCAATCTCTGTGAATTTTATTCTGTACATTTCATGTAAATGAAATCACACACTATGTGACCTTTTGTGCCTGACTTTGTCCATGTTGTATCATGAATCAGTACTTCATTCCTTTTTATTAATGAATAACGTTCCATTGTATGAATATGCCATATCATGTTAATCCATTATTAATTGACAGACATTAGGTTGGTACTATTTTTTTTATTATTATGAACAATGTTGTTATGAAAATTCATATATAAGTTATCATGTGGATGTATGTTTTCAGTTTTCTTAGGCATATGCCAATAAGTAAAATTGCTGGAACATATGGTAGCTATGTGCTTAACATTTTGGGAAACTTCGAAACTGTTTCCCCAAGTGGTTGTATCAGTCTACATTCCTATCAGCAGTGAATGAGGGTAGTAATTTCTCCACACCCTTCATAGCACTTATTTTTGTCCTTTATATTAGAGTCATCCTAGTGGGAATGAAGAATCTCATTGTGGAATTTGTTTGTACTTCCCTAATGACTAATGATGTTGAACATCTTTTCATGTTTTTGACCATTTGTTTATCTTCCTTGGATAAGTGTCTATTCGGATCGTTTATCCATTTGTTATTGTTATTTATTTTATATTATTTTGTTGTAAGAGTTCTTCATATATTCTAGATACAAATTCCTTAACAAATACATGACTTGCCAATATTTTCTTCCATTTAGTGAGTTGTCTTTGCACTTTCTTAGTGGTGTCCTTTGAAGGAAAAAAATTTTTAAT